CTGACCTCATTCTTACCAATAGCTGCAGATGCAACTGTTCATGACAGTAATAGTAAGAGTGACCACCACACAGTCCTTGTGGAGACAAAGTCCCGCCTTCACATTGAGAATAAACATCATGTTGTGTGGCACTATCACCATGCTTAATGGGACAGACTTTGAACAGGTCTAGCAACTCAAGACTGGGCATTTTTGAGACACCGTGGGCCATCAACAACAGCAGAATTGTACTCCAGCACAATCTCTAACCTTAAGCAGGATAAGTCCAACCCAGCCAATTATCACACCATCAGTCTACTCCAGGTCATCAGTAAAGTGAGAAAAGGTGTCATCAACAGATCTATCAATCAGCACCTGCTCAGCAAAAATCTGCTCAGTGATGCCCAGTTTGGGTTCTGCCAGGGCCACTCAGCTCCTGACCTCATTACATCCTTAGTTCACACATGGACAAAAGAGCTGAATTCTAGAAGTGAAGGAGAGTGACAGTCCTTGACATCAAGGCTGCATTTTACCAAGTGCGGCATCAAAGAACCTTAGCAAAACTGGAATCTATGGGTAACGGGGACAAACTCTCCAGTTGTTGGTGCCATACCTGACACATAGGAAGATAGTTGTGGTTGTTGGAGGTCAATCATCTCAGCTCCAGGACATCTCTGCAGGTGTTCCTCAGGGTAGCGGCCTAACCATCTTCAACTGCTTCATCAATGACCTCCCTCCATCATAAGGGCAGACATGAGGATGTTCGCCGATGATTGCAAAATGTTCAGCACCATTCATGACTTCTCAGATACTGAAGCAGTCCATGTTCAAATGCAACAAGATCTGGACAATATCCAGTCTTGTGCTGACAAGTGGCAAGTAACATTCACACCACATAAATGCCAGGTTATGACTACCACAACTAAGAGACAATCTAACCACCGCCCCTTGGTATTCATTGGTGATACAATGGCTAAATCCTACATTATCAACATCCTGGGGGTTATCATTGGCCAGAAACTCAGCTGGGCTCACCACATAAACACAATGGCAACAAGGGCAGGTCAGAAGCCAGGAATATTGTGGTGAGTATCTCACCTCCTGATGCCTCAAAGCCTTTGCACCATCTACAAGGCACAAGTCTGTCAATACTCCCCACTTGCCTGGATGAGTGCAGCCCCAACAACACTCAAGAAGCTTGACACCATCCATGACAAAGCAGCCCACTTGATTGGCACTACATCCACAAGCATCCACTCCCACCACCACCATCGCTTAGAAGCAGCAGTGTGCACAATCTACAAGATGCACTGCAGAAATTCACCAAAGATCCTCAGACAGCGCCTTCCAAACCCATGACCACTTCCATGTAGAAGGACAAGGGCAGCAGAATAATGGGAACAGCACTGACTTCAAGTGTCCCTCCAAACCACTCACCATCCTGACTTGTAAATATATCATTATTCCTTCACTGTTGCTGGGTCAAAATCCTGGAATTGCCTCACTAATGGCATTGTGGGTCAACCCACAGCAGGAGGACAGCAGTGGTTCAGGAAGGCTGTTCACTACCACCTTCTCAAGGGCAACTAGGGATGGGCAAAAGTGCTGGCCAGCCAGCAATGCCCACATCCTACAAATGAGTAAAACAAAATGCCTTCCTAACTGTTAAGTGAACCTGCATGTTTATCTTAAGAGAATCCTGAACTCAGACTCATAAGTTCCTGTGTTCTTCAGATTTCTGAAGCCCTTCCCAATTTTGAAAAGAGACTAAGCTTCTTTTCTGCTTAACAAAGTGCATAACTTCACATTTTGTCGCATTGATTTCCATCTGCCACCACTTTGCCCACTGTCCCAGATTGTCCAAGTCCTTGTGCAGCATCCCTGCTTCCTCAACATATGTCCCCCCACGTATGTTTGTGCATCTGCAAACTTAACAACAATGCTTTCTGTTCCTTCATCCATATTGTTATTGTATAACATGAGCAGCTGTGGTCCCACCACTGACCCCTGCAGAACTCCACTAGTCACCTGCTGCCACCCTGAAAAAGATTGATTTATCCCCACACTCTCCCTTCTGCCAGTCAGCCAATCCTCTATCCATGCTAGTACTTTGCCCCTCACACCATGGTGTCTTATCTTATTTAGCAACTTCCTGGGTGGCACCATGTCAAAGACCTTCTAGAAATCCAAATAGATCAAATCCACTGACTCTCCTTTGTTTCATTTGCTCATTACCTCCTCAAAGAATTTGAACAGATTTGTCAGACATGAACTCCCCTTGATGAACCCGGACTAACTCAGTCTTATTTTACCATACATAACTCAGGACAATCAAGAAAATTATTCTGCCTAAAAACATTTAGCCTTTGGATGTTTTGCAGCTAATCTTCAATTATCCTGAACCAAAAACAAGGTAGTAGCTGTCAAAAACCCACACAGAACAAACAATCTTCTATTAATACTCCAGGGAGTCCTTACTGTTTAACCTGTACTGAAGTTGGTCACTGTTCTGTAAAAACTGTCTGACTTTTTCTCAAAAAGCCTTCACAAAAGTAACTAACCAGAAATTTCTGTCATAAATATTTCTTCCTTCTGACTATCCCATAATAATATAATAACATGAGACACTCAGTGATTTTTCTTTTCTCCTCTTTGGAATTCTGACTAGATAATTTCCATCATTATGTTTCTTTTTAGTTTTAAAAAGTCCAGTCAACATTACTTTTAATGGTACCCCAGGACAGGGAACAAATTTATCAACACAAATTCCTTGTCCCCTGCAACAAAATTTTAAACTTTAACCTTTTCATCTGCTTGAGTTTTCATTCCTTGTTGAGCATTATTTGAATAACTTGTATCCTTTGTTTCATTTCATTCTGAAACTAAGAACATGGATAGTCTCTTAGCTTTAGTTTATCAATCACTGTATTATTATTAACACTTTGTATTTTAAGCAATAACACCTGGGTACTAGTTTTGATTCAATTTCTGAGTAGGCTGCTAGGAATAAATCTGGACATTGGATCTAATTGTTGCATTTCCATCAAAGAAGATGGGCTAGACATCATAGATTCATTCTTTTTACATTCATCCTTTCCTTTTGCATTTTTCTCAGTCATCTAATAAGTGAATTTCAAAGTCATCTAATTTTTTCCTAGACTTTTCTTATTCTTGCCTAATTCTATGTGCCTATAAGGCAGTCACCAACCACAGTCAGGAAACATCCAAAATGCTCCTCCTGCAGTATTTCTGTATCTTTTCTTGTTACTGATTGGTTCATCACTCTCATTCCAGATATGCACAGCCTTTGATGTTACACCTGAACTGGAAATAATGCAAATGTTACACAAATGAAATATGATGGATGTTGGAAATCTGAAATAAGAGGAGAAAAGTGGAAATACTCAGCAGGTCATGCAGTATCTATATTTCAGAAACAGAGTTAATATTTTAGATTGATTAGCTTTTCATTAATGGAGAAGAAAATTAGAAATGTAAAGTTACTCAGCAAGTGGAAGAAGAAAAAAGACAGAAGGACAAAGGATCAAGTCTGGAGGGCAGGGGAGGAAAATGGATAGGGGGAAGAAACAATGGTTATGCCCGAATGAGGTATCAATCTCTTTATAAAACTAACTGAATATGACAAGAAGGGATAAAAGAGAAACAAGACAAATATCAATTCAGAGTATTTGAATTTGTTGGATAAGGTAGCTGAATAATTGCTTTTATTTTGTAAATATTCACTTTAATTTGGAGATTGTAGTTAGTATTAAACTGAAATGAATCCAGATCCAAAACTGTCTTAGAGGCAGAAATTGATGATTGAAGGGTGTTTTGTGGCTGGAGGCTGATGTCCAGTGGCACACCATAGGGTTTGATGTTGGTTCCCTTGCTGTTTGTAGTGTATGTCAATGATCTAGACATGAATGTAGGAGGTATAGTTAGTAAGTTTGCAGATAACATGAAAAATGGTGGCATGGTAAATAGTGAGGATGAAAACTTTAGACTACAGGATGATATAGATGGCTGGTCAGATAAATTGAACAGTGGCAAATGAAATTTAATATTGAAAAGAGAGAAGTGATGGATGTTAGTTAAAATAACAAGGCAAGAGAGTGAATGTTAGGTGGTGGGACCTGAGGAAGTACTGAGACTTTGGTGGGCATATTCATAGAACCTTGAAGGCAATGGGACAGTAGATAAGTTGGTTAAGAAGGCAGATGAGATACTTGCATTTATTAGTTAAGGTATTGAATACAAGTGCAAAGAAATGATGATGGAGCTATATTACGTTATCTAGGCCACATCCGGAATACTGTGTGCCTTTCTAGTCACCACATTAAAGGAATATTCTGATTGCACGGGAGAGGGTGGAGAGGAGATTCACTAGAATGTTGCTTGGCCTGGAGTGTCTCAGCTATGAAGAGAGGACAGATAGGCTGGAGTTGATTTCTTACAGGAGATCAGCTTGGTGGTTGGGAGGATGGAGCAGGTGGTATGTGGTTAGGGTGTACAAAGATACACATCTAAACCTTATTGCCTAAAAGTATGGTAGACGTTGGAACACTCAAAACATTTTAGAAGCATTTGGCTGAGAACTTGGAACAACATAAGATACAAGGCTATAGGCCAAGTCCTGGAAAGTGGGATTGGAATTAAATTCTTGATGACCAGTGGGGCACGAAGGTGACTCTATTGATGGAATGGTTGACGATACAGATTTAATGAAATTCATAAAAGAAGCAATGGCATGAATGGTTAGGATGTGGAATGTGCTGCTTGAGAATTGGCCCAGGCAGGTTCAATCGGATTTTTCAAAAAGGAATTGGACACGAATGGGAATATTTTGCAGGGCTATGAGGGAAAGCGTAGGAGTGACACGACGGTGAAATGCGCTTTCATTGACGCGACAAGTCGAAAGGCTGCCTTGCGCTGAAACCATTCGATGATTTATCGTTACCTTTCCTGTAGAAACTTTTCTGTTTCAGATAGTGAGAACTTTGTGTTGGAATCTTTCTTACCTGATCCATAGATGTCTCGAGGAATTCGCGATACCCATCGGCTGTAGGAGTGGCACCCGCACTCAGCACTGCCAGGGCGATGGAGAACAGGGCGAGGGCACAGTGAACTCGGCTGCACCACATCACTGCGCAAAGCGAAGAAGTATAGATTGAAATGCCCGGCGTTTCAGCACTGGTGATATGGACAGCTCCTCTCCGGCTGGCCTTTTAAACCCGCTCTCACAACGCAATTTCACGTCAGGAAAGGGTGTCCCTGAAATTTTCCGTTTACTTCTGATTCATTTCCCTTTCTCATACGCGTCGATTATCTAAACTCATGGAAACCATTGATCTAATAACTGCAAGTTCCGAACTGTGCTTCTCTGCACTTTTTATAAAAAAGATTTTGGGAAATTGATACCCTAGGACTAGTGTGTCCAACAATCATCACTAATGACCCAAAAAAGTGTTATGATAACAGATAAGATGTAATTGCCTCACTTTGGTTAGGCACATATTGCATTTAACAAGTCCTAGTGCAGTCTTTGTTGTATTCTGTATGTCCCAGCATCTGATTGAAGTACAGTCACAGCGGGCAAACCAGCAAATTTTAATAATGCTCTGTATATTGCTGGGGGAAAAAAGCATGGCCAAATATTTTCAATACGTGTATTTAAATTCTTACAATCCTATGTGCTAAAAAGTGGCCTTATTAACAACTTCATAAATAGGATCTGAGCCATTTGTTCACCCTGCAAACTTGATGCCAAAATTGGGCAGAGACATTCTGCAGAATAACAGCTCCACTAATCAGAACATTTCTCACAACAAATCATGTAACCTTATGCCCATTATTCCATCAGCTGAGGTCACTTTATTGGAGTCATTTGAAGGAGCAACATATAAAGTACAGCCTTCAGATATTCTTTACTCCAATTTCCAGATGACATTTCAGAATCAAAATGCTGGAATTTCCTCCCGAACAGCAGAGTATACCTATTCCCCAAGGACATCAGTGGTTCAAGATGGCAGCTCACCACCACTTTCTCCAGGGCAACTGGGGATGGAAAATAAATGAAAGCTTTCCTGGAATGCTGTATCCCAGAAATGAAACAATATAAAATTTTCTCAATTACAGAATATCAGCCCTGTCAGGCACATCATTTCAGTGTGTTCCTGCACCACTGAACTAGTTTTAATCCTATGGTGACTTTATTTTTCTTCTCCTGTTCAATCTCTTCCAACTTGTATTCATGATTCTTCTGACGTTTTATGACAGTTTCACAATTTCAACGTTCTAAACCCTTGCTGCCTCATACATCCATTCCCCATCAGAATGGTCTGAAAACCTTCTGCTGCTTCCTTGGTAAAAAGGCCTGAACTGTCTCCATCAATCACCACACTCCATTGTCTGACTGAGCTTATTCTCACTTTAAATAGCTTTCCTTTTAATTCATCTCACTTTCTGCACATCAAAGTTATTGCCAAATGTACCCGCTTGTGTCCCAGCTGTGCATTCTCTTTGACGGGTATGCGGAACATTCCTTATTCTAGTCCTACTCCGGCCTCCAACACAACTCATTCTCTGATGCATCAATGATACCGTCGATGCTCCTTCATGCTGTCATTCATAATTGGAAATCTCCAACTTTTTCCCATATTTATGACGTTTATCTTTGATTCTTCTCTTACTTTCCGTGACTTCACTGTTTCCATTTCTGGGGATAGGCTGTTCACCAAATATCCATTACAAATCACATAGTTAATTAACTGAACTTCTCATACTTTGCTTCCTGTAAGGACTCCATTCCATTCTCTCAGTATCTCCATCTCTGAGACGTCTGTTCCGATGGTGCCACTTCTGACAGGAGTGCCTCCAACACGTCCTGCTTTTCTCACTAAGGTTGACAAGGCCCTCAGGTGTATTTGAACCATTTTTCACACTTCTATCCTCACTCCTTTTTAGAGTAATGACAGCATTCTACATGTCTTCATTCTCCATCCCACTAGTCACCACGTTCAAAGGGCAATCCTCCACCATTTCCACCATCCCCAGCAACAGTACACCCCGACCAAATACTTTCCATAGGACCATTCTCTCTGTGGCACTCATGTGCACTCCTCTATAAACCTAACACTTCCTCATTCTCCATTGGCACCTTCCAATCCAACTGTAGAATGTGTAACACTTGCCTATCCCTCCTCACTGTCTAAGGCCCCAGGTACACTTTCAAACTGACACAGCATGTTATTTAAATAAAAACTGAAAGAACTACGGATCCTGTAAATCAGGAACAAAAACAGAAGTTGCTGGGAAAGCTCAGCAGGTCTGGCAGCATCTGTGAAGAATAAAATCAGAATTAACATTTCAGGCCCAGTGACCTCTCCTCAGAACTTCTGAGAAGGGTCACCAGACCCAAAATGTTAACTCTGAATTTTTTCTTCACAGAGGCTGCCAGACCTGCTGAGTTTTACCAGAAACTTCTGTTTTTGTTACAGCATGTTACTTGTATATCTTTCAATCTAGTTTACTTAAAAGAAAAATAATGTGAATGCTGGAAATCTGA